TCCCAAGTAGCTGGCACACACCACCACATCTGGCTAATTTTTTAATAGAGATGGAGTTTTACCATGTTGCTCATGCTGGTCTTGAACTCCTGGACTCAAGTGATCAGCCTGCCTCGGCCTCCCAAAGTGCATATGCTGGATTTCTAACACAGTACCAAAAAGGGAAAATAAACTGTTTTATTAATAATGTTTTCACTGATTTCCATGTTGAAATAATGCTTTGGGTATGTTGGGATAAATATTTGTTGAAATTAGCTTCTTGTGTTTCTTTTTACCTTTTTAATGTGGCTACTAGAAAATACAGTGCCACATGTGGCTCACACTTGATTTCTACGGAACGCCACTGTCCTACAGCAGTGCTATCTGATAGGACTTACTGCAATGATGAAATGTTCTCTACCTGCACCGTCCAGTACAAGGGCCAGCAGTGGCTCAGGCCTGTGATTATTATAATACATCATTTTGCAATGCTGTGACCAGAGGACTGCTTGATGCCAGGAGTTCAAGACCAGCTTAGGCAATGTAGTGAGAGGCAATATCTACTAAAATGACAAATATTAGCTAGGTGTGGTGGCACATGCCTATAGTTCGGTTAGAGGCCACAGTGAGTTATGATCTGGCCACAATGCTGCTGTACTCCAGCCTGGGTGACTGAGCAAGACCCTGTAAAAAAACAAAACAGGCTGGGCGCGGTGGCTCAAGCCTGTAATCCCAGCACTTTGGGAGGCCGAGGCGGGTGGATCACGAGGTCAAGAGATCGAGACCATCCTGGTCAATATGGTGAAACCCCGTCTCTACTAAAAATACAAAAAATCAGCTGGGCATGGTGGCGCGTGCCTGTAATCCCAGCTACTCAGGAGGCTGAGGCAGGAGAATTGCCTGAACCCAGGAGGCGGAGGTTGCGGTGAGCCGAGATGGCGCCATTGCACTCCAGCCTTGGTAACAAGAGTGAAACTCCATCTCAAAACAAAAACAAAAACAAAAACAACAACAACAAAACGGTAGCATATGCCTGTAATCCAGCACATTGGGAACCTAGGTAAAAGGATGGCTTGAGCTCAGGAGTTCGAGGACCAGCCTGGGCAACATAGTGAGATCTTATTTCTACTAAAAAAAATTAATTGGGTATGGTGGCATGAGCTGGTAGTCCCAGCTACTCGGGAGATTGAGGCAAGAGGGTCACTTGAGTCCGGGAGGTTGAGGCTGTATTGAGCCATGATTGTGCCACTGCGCCCCAGCCTGGATAACAGAGCAAGACCTTGTCTCAAAAAAAAAAAAAAGATAGTTGGGTGTGGTGGGTCATGCCTGGGCCAAATGGCTAACGCTTGTAATGTCAGCACTTTGAGAGGCTGAGGTGGGTGGATATCACTCAGGTGATCAGGAGTTTGAGACCAGCCTGGCCCACATGGTGAAACCCCCATCTCTATTAAAATACAAAAATTAGCTGGGTGTGGTGGTGGGTGCCTGTAATCTCAGCTACTCGGGAGGCTGAGGCAGGAGAATTGCTTGAACCTGGGAGGTGGAGGTTGCAGCAAGCCAAGATCGTGCCACTGCACTCCAGCCTGGGCAAGACAACGACATTTCAACCCAAAAAAAAAAAAAAAAAAAAAAAAAATATATATATATATATATATATATATATGATAGCCACTAGCCACATGAGGCTATTAAGAGCTGAAAATGTGGCTGGTACAACTGAGAAACTAACCTTTTATTTATTTATTTAAACCTTTAAGTTTTTTGTAGACACGGGATCTCACTAAGTTGCCCAGGCTGGTCTCAAATGCCTGCGCTCAAGTGATCCTCCTGCTTCAGCACAAGCCACTGTGCCTGGTCTAATTTTTTTTTTTTTTTTTTTTTTTTTTTTTTTTTTTTT